GAATGCCAGTTTAGCCATATTCGGTATGCGTTTTGCACCTTCAAAGTGTAAAATGTTACTACAAGACTGGGTTGGTCTAGCACCCAGCCTCACTCTAACTGGGGAAGTAATAGAGGAGGTGGATAAGTTTTGTTCTTTGGGCAGCTACATCTCACCCGGTGGAGGCATCACGAATAAAGTGCCAGCTCGCATACAGAAGGTTCGGTTGGCATTTGCCAACTTGAGACATCTGTGGTGCCGTCTCGACATCCGGCTGTCTGTGAAGGGTCGAGTGTATGCCGCGACAGTTCGGCCAGTTCTGCTATACGGTGCAGAAACTTGGCCATTAAGAAAACAAGATAAAGACAGACTGTTGGTGTTTGAACACTGCTGTCTACGTAGCATTGCACGAATCTGGTGGGGTAGCCGGATGAGCAATGGTGAGGTTGGGTGTGGAGTTTTGGGTATCCGCGGTCGCCCATTGGAGCAAGCGGTCGACCACCGCTACGTTGTTTGGGACATGTGTTACTTATGTCACCAGATAGATTACCACGGCGAGCGATGTTTGCCAAAGCAAGACACCGAGTGGTGGTCAAGCTAAGACCTGGTACAAGGGTATGAAAACCCTTACCAGGAGACTGGGTCACATAGTTTCTCTTAGGCTCCCTTGCTGGGGACCTCGGGATGATCGTAACCGACGTTTAGAGACACTGAGTGATACGGTTGGGTGTCGCAACCAGTGGCGTTCGTGCATCTTCTTAATCTCTTTGCAACCTTAGACTACTGAACTTCTCCATTTTCTGTTCGACTCCGTTTTCACGTTTCCTTTCTTCTCCTATTCTTCATCCAAATGGGCAGCCAAAATACAGCAACCAAAGCCGGCACACGAATATGCGTGGTTGATGGTTGTTCAAAATGAAACTGAACAAGCTTATTTTTGTGCACAGCTTTGAATGTTTAAATTATTGTCACCATAATGAAGCAAGCAGTGCTCAAAATCAACATTTCTTGTTATCTCAGTGATTAAAAATCTGTTTTCTGTTTGGAAGTGAGAGGTCAATGTGCTACCTGAACATCGGAAATTCGAAGCAAAAGTGCGCTACGTAATAGGGCACAAAATAGAAAATGACTTCATAACAAAGTTGGTGGATTCCATGCTGAAGAGACACCAAAAAGTCTTAAAGAACAAAGGCAGACCAATTGACTATTAGTGTACACAAATTTTACTTCTAAATTATTATCAATGATAATTTGTTGTAAGTAAAAAATACAATAAAATAAATTAAATTAAACTGTTCCGTTCCCTTCAGCTAACTCTTAACTCATCATGGTTTAGGTCAACTACTTCCGACGAAATGAGAGTATCCGCTACATTTTGAACCATTCCATCTGCTGAGTAAAAACGAATCATAAAACTCACGTCTATAAAGACACGTCAAGGCTTGTTTATTATTATTTTGAAAAAAAATTTACTTCAGTTTAAATGCTGTTACCTATATGAACCGACAAGTGTTTCACAGGGACTCGTTGCTTCAATTTCGATCAGACCTCTATACATACGTAT